AAAAACAAAGAGAACAACAGTTACAGTTAAATGGATAATTGTTTGTTTTCATATTATTTGTTTTCTTTTTCTTTTTTCCTTTTTTTTTTGAAAACACAGTGAACTGAAATGAAATGACATCACTAATACTTCTCCCACTCGTTTACCTCGCGTGTTTTTTCATATCTCAGAATGGAAATGGAATGGATGAAATTTTCCTGGATTATTATTCTATTTTATTCCATTTTGACAACATTGTCTGTCATATTCTTCCGTGCATAGTACTATTTTACATAACTTGTTGACAATTTTGTCCGTAGTCTTTATTATTCTGAGAAAAAAAAAAACGAAAACAGAATATGTTGAAATATTATTTGAAGTTGTTTGAATAAAATATATGTAATTCAAGTTTTTCATAACAAATAGACAATTGGGTCATTGTATTTGAAAATTATAGTTCAAATTAAAGGCACCGAAATGAATTTTTTGTTTTTGAAAAAGTTTTAAACTTGTGGAATGTTTTTATTTTAGCATTCCTTTTTTCATTGCGAAAAAATTGCATAATTTGTTAAATCAAAAAAATAAAGTATGGAATTTTATTATTCCTAAAAATAAATAAAAGTAAATAAGATTCACTGAATATTTATAATTCCTTATGCCAATAATTTTTTATTTTAAATTACTGTTTCATCATTTTTTTGTGCACTTTTATAGCCAATGGCATTTTTGTTAGGAAAAATTTTTACACAAACATTTTCATCAAAATTAACAACAGAGACTTACTTTCTGCCAATAATTCATTTGGCCAAATTTTCGAGTTTGAAATTATAATTGAATATAGTCGCCAAATGGTAAATTTATTTAAGAAAATGAGAAAAATTCCACAATTATAAGTCAGCAAATGGTTACGCTGAAGTTTTATGCAATATACTGAATGTTAGCCTAAGTGGCTGTGATGTTTAGCCTAGTCTAATTTTTATAAATTAGACAAAATAAGCTTGTTTAGTATTCATGACCTTTACACGCTTTTTTCGTCCATTTAAGTTTAATTTTAGTTTTCAAATCTACTTTAAGTATAAAATCACTACGAAAATTTCTTGAATTTTTCAGTGAAAGTTAAACTTATTGATTTATAAAATTAAAAAAAACACACACATATTTAATTATTTACTAAGTTGATGATAATAACAGAAAGTAAAACTCTAAATTTGTTTAAAAAATTGGCAAAATATTGCTTCTTTTTTTAAAAAAACTAAAATTATCGATGAGAAATATATTGTCATAAAAGATAAAAGGTTATCACATTTAAAAAAAAGGAAGTGGTTAAAGGTGGGGACTCTTTTTTTTTAGGTGGAGGAGGGGGGTTTAAAAGTTATCATAACATCATTTTAATGGATTTACATTTAGATTTTCTTACTGACAGGTCTTTCTTTTTTTTTCTAAAGCTATATAGCTAGCTGTCCATTAATTATTTGCTTGCATTCCTGTTCGTTCGTTTAGCTTTTATTATTTGCAGAAAAGGGAAGGATGTATGTAGCATCAAGAAAAAAAAGCTTAGTTATGTAAGAAAAAAAAGTCGAGAATTGAGGAAGGAGAAGATAAATGGAATATATCGATTAGGCAGGTCATAAAACATTCAGCTTTTTGTTGAATAATAACATTCACTGTCAAAGCACTGTAACTAATTGCTCAATGAAAATAATACTAATTATCTTTTTTTTTTCTTTTTTAAATGCTTCTTTACTTCTTTGAAATATATATAAATATATTCCCTTTCAAATAGGAAATTTGCAAAAAAAGAGACATTTTCGTTTTTGTTTTTTTTAAATTTTCTTTAATATATCAATCTAAACTAATTTTACTTTAAGAAAATAAGAAATGGATCAAAGTAAAATGTGTATATAAATGAAATTTTTATTAACGAAGAAGTGATTATTTATTTGTGGCAGAAAATTTTTGAAATTCTTCCTTTAATAGAGACGACCAACGATCAATTCATCCTTTAAAGACTTTCCATTTCACAAGTAAGATGAAATAGTTGAAAAGATTGCTTCTAAAGAAAAGGTCAAAGTTTGGTACTATTCGTATGGTAGATCTACCAATCCCACCATTGATGAATATTTATTTAATAGTGTTTATTTTGATTTCAGAATTTTCCCCACGCAATCCTCCGATTTCAGAATATCTTATCAACATAACTCTTTTCTCATTGGCAAAGCTTGCAATGACATCGCATCCTTTAAATCTTTTAACTTTCCGTTAACTAAAATTGGAAAATTTTATGGGATATCTCATACCATATTAAACTGAGCATTATAAAAAATATGCAAATATGTGTTTGGCTTGCATCGATGGTCAATCTCATCGGACATTTTCATACTTTGATGTTGCATGAATATCGAATTTCACACAAAGTGACTATAATTTGAAATCATTATTTCGATCCATTTTGGATGATTTTCATCCCTTCCAACACTTCGCTAATATCATTTATATTGCGACATGAACTTTTTTGAAAAAAACAAAATAAAATAAGAGGTAACTGCTTACATTACAGCTAATAAAATAAGTAAGTGCTGGGTACTTGCCAATGAGTCATACAGAAAATGATTTGTTGCGCATATCGACAGATATCGAAGAAAGACGAAAAGTATCCAATATTTCGATCGAATCGAAATTGAGTTCAAAAGTTACATTCAGTGCTGGGTCTGTAGCATTTGGATACAGGTAACTGCAAAGATTCATAAAGCAAACGAAATTCCAAATCTTTGAAAGGATCGAAATTTAGGCATAGATTTGCAACTGAAATTGGCTCAAATAATCCTTAAAATGACAAGATTTCAAGTGTCATTTGAACAAGAGCAAATAAATAAATAAGTTTACAATCGGACAACTGTGTAAATCTAACTTTCAATGAGTCCATAAAGTGTCAATAAATTTTAGAATTTAAGCGATTTGCACTAAATGATTGATTTTGTTTGAAAAAACTAAAAATTAATGAAGAATAATTAGTAGTAAAGCATTGCTAGTTATGCATATCGAAAAAAGTCCTTTTGAAGTTAGTTAAATTTTTTTTAGAAGGTCCATTAGATAAGTTCAGAATTTGAATTGAGAAATGAATTCAGACGCCGAATTCAGAGTAGTTGACGGAAGGTTTTCCGGAATAGACTGTTAAAATATTTCATCATACTTATTTCAATTTTCATACGAAAAATTTTAAGATCGAATGAAACAGATGGACTAACGGAGGAAAAGGATTATCATCAAGTAGCAATCAACGACAACAGCAATAGTAATTGTGGTAATCGTGAAGGATGGGACAATAAAATGCAATTTCTCATGGGTGTTATATCCTATGCTGTTGGTCTGGGGAATGTTTGGCGATTTCCTTATCTGTGCCAAAAAAATGGCGGTGGTCAGTAATATAAGTAAACGATAAATTTGATCTCATCATTATACATATATAGAAGGAAAAAGATGAATAATTTAGCAGATGTTAAGCCAAGACATCTTGGATGAGAAGACTGCCACTAATGAATGAAGCATAAATTTAGGAAAAGCTATGAAATCTGAAATTTTCAAAAAAATTTCAGGTGCATTTTTGATACCTTATTGTATAATGATGTTTGTGGAAGGTACACCGTTATTTCTTGTTGAACTTGGCATTGGACAAAAATTACGGTTGGGACCTGTTGGTGTTTGGAACGAAATTCATCCGTATTTTGGAGGTCAACAAACAATCCTGTTATGATTTGCAGTGCTAAATGCCGTTGAATGATGATTTCTTATCGAATTTTAGAGTTTAATATTTGAACGTTCCAGAGAATAAATTTTAACACTCATTGATAAGCTTTTCTTTTTTAAAGAATTTATCTATTTAAGGTGTTGGAGTATCAGCAGCCATTGTTTCTTTTCTTGTCGCCCTTTATTATAACGTTATCATCACATGGTGTATATATTACTTGTACAGATCATTCGATATCAATTTGCCATGGAGCGTATGTTTTCCTCCTTCCGAATTTTCACTTCACAGCAGTGATAATGAATAATGCGTGATGATATCGGAGATATTGCAGAGTTGTCCTGAAATAAATGGTTCTGTAGTGGAGGAATGTCGGATATCCAGTTCCACAACAAGTTATTTCTGGAGTCGTGAAGCAATTGACACAAGCGAGTAAGTAAGCCTCTGTTGTAATGTCATAATTTACGAGAAAAGAGTAGTACTTTTCTCAGAATTCTGAGAAAAATTTCATAATTCCAATTGTTGTTAAACGGAATGTTTGAAATAAGCAGTGTTATAGTAGTTAATTATCCGAACAATTTCGAATTAAACAGTAAAATTATAAAATGTAAAAATTTACTTATGTTCGTATTAGATCAATAGGTGATTTCGGTGGTTTTGTTCCTCATATGACAGTTTCACTGATTCTTGCCTGGGTGCTAATCTACCTCTGCGTTATGCGTGGTATCAAAAGTAGTGGAAAGGTATGTCAAATTTCATTATTTACCATTATTTCATACTTAGCTTTTAAGAATTTTCCGAAGCTTCAGATATTTGTAATTCAAAACAAAGATCACTCGCAAATTTTTATATTTACAGGTTATGTATCTTACGGCTACTTTTCCGTATGTTGTTACCACCATATTCTTGATTAGGTCATTGATGCTTGATGGTGCAACCGAAGGTTTGAAGTACATGATGAATCCTGATGTAAGTTCTTTTTCTTCTTTTAAAGCAACTAATTAACAAATTAAGCTGTTACATAAATTAACGTTCCTGAAAAAAAACAATCAGCTAATTAGTCTTGGAGTTGGAATATTTGGAACCGTCTTTTGTATTAATGGACTTTGACGTTCTGAGCACATCGAAATTAATAGCTTAATTAGCATGGGGTGAGAAAATAATTGCAAGAATCATTTCTTTAGAAAATATTTTAGCTCAAGCGTTTGTGGGATCCAAATGTTTGGATGGAAGCTGCGACACAAATATTTTACAGCATGGGATTAGGTTTTGGCGGTAAAATTTTTTGTCACATGAAAAAAATGATCTGTAAGGAAAGTAAAACAACGTTTATGGAGGAAGCTTGAAGTTTCCAAAAAATTCTAATTTTAAATTTTCAGTAAAAAAAAAAGATTCGTCGGATGAAGAAGCAATCATTTACTAGTGAATTTCAGGACTGATAGCATTTGGATCATACAATCCGGAAAAGAATAACTGTAAAAAAGATGTTCTTTGGCTTTCTCTTTGCAATCTAATCACCTCACTTTATATGGCTATCGTTATTTTTTGTGTTCTTGGCTATATGGGTGTACAAAATTATAACAGTTGTATAAAACGGTAATTGGAATCTTATTTCAGTTTTTGCCAAAAGGATTTAATAAAAAGAGAAATATCAAAGTTAACATACAGAATGTTTGACATTTTAAATTATTTTCAAATAATTTACGATATGAAGTAATGCAAAGAAGAAAATTGAGGAATATTTCTGAACCTTGTATACTGTATTATTGTATGATATTTGAATTTCAGAGATATGGCTAATATTCTTACCATATATCCAAATAAATTTCGCAACTTTGATGAAATCCAAAGCAATATATCGGTCGAACAATATGCAATGTGGATGTACCGCGATTTCCAAGATACCGAATATTCCCTACTAGCCAATGTGACTGGTCACTGTAATTATAAGCAGATCATTTCACAGGTAATCACCATGTTTACTATTTTGCACACTCCTTTCATGTGCTTTTACCACTTCTTCGATGCGTGCAATTATCCAAAATTTCAGGCAGCTGAAGGGACAGGTTTAGCGTTTGTTGTATTCACAGAAGCAATAAATCAATTTCCATTTCCACCTTTTTGGGCGGTAATGTTCTTCTTGATGCTTTTAATGCTTGGCATGGGTTCAATGTTTGGTACCTTGGAGGGTGTGATAACATCACTAAATGATAGCAAACTTATTAATTTGAAAAAACCCGTCCTCACGGCTATTTTGTGTTCTATTGCTTGTGGAATTGGTCTTGTTTTCACGACACATTCCGGTCAGGTATGACTTTCTGGATATTACTCCAAATTGCTCACTGATATACTCATCCACTCAATCATTTCCTTGTTTATTCATTGTGTTCCTATAAACAACAGAATTGCCAAATAACCAGCACAATTAATAATTTGGAATATCTGTTTTTCCATTCTCTTGCAAATTTCAGTATTGGGTTATGCTATTTGATCATTTTGCTGGCACCTACTCCCTTATGGGTGTAGCTTTTTTCGAAGTTGTAGCTGTGATATACGTTTACGGATGGCAAAAGTAAGCTTATCAATTCCTGAAATCAGCATTTCATTTGTTTTAATTATAGTGAAATTAATTTGACTGGTATGGGAAGGCTCATACACACAATTAATAATATCATTTCAGTTTTGCTCGAGATTTAATGGATATGACTGGTGAAACAATCTCCTGCTACTGGACCATAACATGGCGCTTTATATCACCAGTCCTAATGCTTGTCCTGTTTTTCGCTTCCATTGTCAAATCTTTCATTGATTTACCCAAATATTCCGTTTATAATTCTGAGACAGCAAGTTTAACGTTTACTTTACTTTATTAGTCTTTTAACTTTTTTTTTCTTTAACTTTCAACTTATTCCCACTTGTAAATTAGTTGTTAAATTTGTTTTCCCAATGAATGTCCCGTTATGTGCCATTTTCAGACACACCAAAATGCGCAAACATATCCTGAATGGGTTTTAATTATTGCTGGTTCAATGGTTTTATTTGCTATTGCACCAGTGCCATTGATTTGGTTTATTCGAAGATTCAAAATTATGAATTTAGAGATGGATATACTTACGGTACCGTTTCATTTCCACTTCAGTACTTTAAATTATTCAATTTTTGGAACCATCATTAAATATATTAATAACGATCAACAGTTACGTATGGAGTCTAATGTATTATATGTTAAGAGGTATGCATCAAAGAATCTCAATTTTTTTTTATTTTAACCAACTTATGTATTATCATATTTCCTTTCCAAATCAGCTAATTTTTTAGTCTCAAAAATGTCTAAATGCAACACCGAGTACGACATATATTCTCAGGTCTGTATCAACAGTCACTCAAGCTTCCACTGAAAACAATCCCAAGTTATTACCATTGAAAGCTTCTTGTTCTGAAAGTAACTTAGGCATTTAGACTGATTTTCAAGTAATCTGAATTACTCTTTCCTTTCTTTATCACAGTTAAAGTATACTGAACTTAACTATTGGTGTTAAAATTTCCTTTTCATTCCAATTTTAACTGATATTTTGAAATTTATGACCTGATAAAGACGTCATTTCCTGTCCTCTCCCAGTCCATTATTGTAACTCTAGCCATTCATTTGTACATACACTGTTATAGTAAATACACGATCGCCTTTCGAAGACTTTTTTTATTGTTATCAGAAAATAAACTTACTACTTATTATTGTCATAACTTTTGATTAGAACTGATTAAAATTTTTGAAAATGAAATTTGAGTGAAGCATTCAATGATTTTGTGAATTATAATAAACGACCTACTAAATGGTCCTTTTTCTCATTCTTTTAGCTTCCAATGAAATAATATGTAATCGCAAGGATTTTTAGTAATTCTTAAGCAAAATTCATACTTGACGAAAATTTAATTACGCCAAATGAACCGTCAAAAGTAGTATTATCTGTTCGGAAATAACACTCAGCCCACATTTTCCTTCATTTGATGTCTTCACTGTTGTTAAAATGTGCCATCAAATATGCAGTCATTGTTTAAATTGTTTGCAGTTCACTGATATCCTTCTTATCATTTTCATTCTTTTTTCACCAATCATATTATCATTGTCGTTATCATCATTGTTATTGTAACTGTTACTTTGTTCTTTTCCCCCTTTTTTTTTTTTGGCAAAAAGGATATTAATCAAAGTAGTGAATTTATTCATTTAACTCAACAACCAATTATGCGTGACATTCTTTAATATTATGGTCATACAGTTTATCAAAGGATATTGATTTTTCGCGACATTTATCCAACCTTCCAGTAGTGTATTTCTTGTCTTTTTTTTTGTTTGAATGTAACAAATGAGATCATCTTAAAATCTTCTTAAAATGTTAGTTTGTAAATATATTCAAGGCAGTTACAGCCTCGGGGCTTGATATTGCTGAATAGCTCAAGTTATGAACTTGATAGAGTTGGTTAATTGTAATCATACTACGAAGAAACATTGCCATTTTAATTACTCATTAAAGTTTAAAAATTTTAATAGATGCCGAAAAATCAAAAAAAAAGAATTTAAAATGAAATTATAAAGAAAACCATAAAGCTTTTACAAAGTTTTTGAAATTATGAAAGCAAATAACGCAAAGTTTCTTCCAATTCTGTAATAATTTTAGTTATCATTCCGAAGATGTACATAGATAGCTAATAAATTATACATAGTGTCCATTTCATTTGTTTGTGAAGTATCATAGAATATTAGTAAATTTTCACTCATGCAAAATTGTTTCATTTAGCAAATTGGTTCAAACTTAGTCTTATTTCGTGTACCATCCTATCACTCATTACAATGCATACCTAGAAGAACATCCTTTAGATATCAGCAAGACATATTAAATGAAGAGTTCATCCAAGTTGAGAAGTGGACTCTATGCTATACGAAAATGTCACCCTATTGGTTGCAATTTTTCTTTCATTTTTTTAGCAGCATCAAAATACATGTATCAATTTCAGGCTTTATTTATTGGAATATTGCTGAATTTGCTGAAAGCTAAGGATGCTAAATTTTTGATTCATTTAAGTTCAATTATAATATTGTAAATAATAATTTTTACTTCTTGATGATATTCATTTTTCAATTAATAGTGGAACTGATATATATCAAGTCAATTCAATAATTATTACATAAGAAGAAAATAAAAGTTGGTTTACGGAGAACATAAATAAAAAAAACAATTGAATTTCATTTAATCGGTACTGCACAATACATTTAAAAGTAATTGGTATTCGGGAGGTCGTGAATTTAGACCTTTCTAATTGAATTTGAGCTATAATAATGAACCAAATCAAAGTATTATAAGAAATGATTAAAAAGGGATTAAAATAAGCAGGAATAGAAAAATTATGCAAGAAATTAATCGAATCTATACGAGGAAATTTGGATCGATAAAGAACTTACTAAATTTATTCAGTGACAAAACTAAATCAAAGGAAAGTGACATCATAATTGACAAGAAATCGTTCAGAAAATAATTCATTATTTTGGTACATAATTGTCTCTTTGGCAAGTTCATCGTCGGAATGCAACATTTTGTTAGAAGTTTGATGCAGAAATGGTGCCGTTTTCAAGAGCGGTAAATTTTCGTGCTTATCGGAGTTTTTCTTTCGAAGGGTAATATCACCATTGTCGCTCTTTGCATTGCATTTGTCAGGAAATTCCTGGATTATTACCGGAGCAATGGTTCCGTATTGTTGAGTAATCTGACTCGATGCTAATGAATTCTTTCCTGCTGAATTCCTGAATGTTAATGATTAATCTTTCATTTGAAATTTTTGGAATTTTGTTTTTCTTATTTAAAATTTAAAGCTCAATTGAAAGTAATTAAATTATTTAACGTATCAGCATACAGTGAAATTGCATATTACTGAGACGGGAAGTTTCATTTTTTTTTTTTAAAGTTTGAAAGCTCAATAATGATGGATCCATCCGAATATCTAATAAATGAAAGGAATCAATCAATATTCCATGCTTAATGGGAAATATATGAATTAGTTTTGAAAAGATGAAAGAAATTTATGACAAATTTTGAGATGCGAAGAATCGAAAGGAAAAGACAAATAAGGAATAAGCTGATGAAATGTTTTGAAATTTATCTTTGCATAAATAATCATTCTAATAAACGAATGGAAACATAAAAGAGGGAAAAATGAATATGACAAATTTACCCTCAACAATGCTACAGGTTGCAAAATGCGGATAGGACGAGCAATCAACCACAGACGTAGAAAAAGTGCTATTATTTGGTGCTGCTGTGGTGGTTATTTGACTGAAATTTAGGGATATATAAGAGAATACGATCGTTCAAGTAATAAGCATGATGAAATGTTGAAAAGGATGGATTTGAAATACCTCATAAACCTCATTTGTTGATTAACCAAATGACCAAGAGCACTTTGTCGCATACGGACATTTTTATCTGGTTGACATACGGCAATATATACTTTTGGCGCAAAAAAGCAACACAATGCAACAGTACCGCTCATCGAAATGCACATGCACAAACTTGTCATCTGTATCTGTAAGGGTAAAATTATGTAAATTAGCAAGTTTCACAGAGTATAACGACTTCTGTCAAATATGACGATGAATAATCCAATTGTAATATTTACTTAGTGGCAAGAAGTCTTTGCAGTTCGAAAATTTATTCATCCCACTTCTTCAACCTTTACCAAAAAGTTTATCAAAAGGGAACTGATACATTTCCTCAATCTCTGTCTGTCAATTTTTCCTTCCAAAACTTCATTTTCAGTCTTCAAGCACTTGAAAAGAATCAGTCCTATTTCTTTTTCATAAAATACATTGCATATCCTTTTCAGAAATCCTTCCATTGATTTTCATTTGTCTGTTATAATCTTCCTTACATACTATTTACTTATTAGAATAAATATAATCGAAAATTCGGTGGAATCACAAACATGCAATAGCAGTTTACCAGTGCATATATGAAGTCACATTTAAATCTTTCTTAGCTGGAAGATCGCCTTGATAGATAGACCTATTAACCTTAGGTCCATAAGACCTAATTAATTTTCTCTTTTTGTTTGTAGTACAATTTAGAGGCATGCATATTTACTGTGAAGTTTAAAAAGACATGCAGTACATAAATTATATGTTACATAAGCAAGCAACCAATTCATATCTCTCTTGTGCTGATTGAAAACAAAAAATATGATAGACTTTGAATAGGTAATACTGTTGTTGAAAAAGTTACAAGAAAAAACTGGAAATAATTAGCTTAAAAGTCGTCATCTTTGGGTTCACTTGATGATGACAATTCATCAGCGGATGCAACAGGACTTAATGTGAAATCGGCATGCATACTGTTTTGACTGATTTGCAAACGACTTCTACTCGTTTCAATGATTTGTTCACCTCGACGTAAACGAGTACGTGACCAGCGGTCAACATTAATATCGACCCATGGTGAATGTAACGTCAAGGCATGAGTGGATACACATAGTGAAATGAAATTGCGTCCACAATAAATTCGTGTATTACCATTGTCCATATCATGTTTCACCTTAACCCCTTGGACGATCGCACTCAGCTGATTACCCTTCTGATCCACAATTGCCTGGCGAGCTGCTAGCATACATCGTTCATGCTTATCTTCATAGATGCCAAGCACATCACCTCCACCAATATCATCCAGAAACAATGCAACTGTAGCATCGATATCACGACGTAAACAAAATTTGTCCGTTGCTACAGATATATTTTCATGAGTTAATATTTCTTGCTTCGTTATAGAATGCACTCTCGTCGATGGATCCGTTCCTTTCACGCCAAGCACGTGGACGGTATCACTGGTAGCCCGAACCCGTGCGCCTTGTACCATATCAAATAACACCTGAAGTTGAACAACAGTGTGACTTTTGTTTTTCCATTTTTGTCTATTTTAATAAATTATTTTGCGAATTGACATCTATACTAACTCACCTGTGTTTCTTGTTGAACAATTTCAATGGATGGATGATGCACGGCAGCGACTCGTCCACCACTACAAATAGTTGCCGCAACTCCACCAATACGACAAATACGGATGTGTTTGTGCAGCGTTATTTCAACGACTACATCATGTGATAAAACCAGCGCCAAAGTGTCAGATGGTGTGACACACAACACGGCTTGACACGACGAATCACCTCTCCAGGAAAATTTAACCTCACGACCAGGTGGATTTCTACAGATGCTTGAGCTTGTTGGTTGAAACATTATTTCGATTGAAATAACGACCTCGCGCCAGCAAATTTTATAAAATGAATGACTAATAATCCAAAGTATTCTCATTAAATTTCGTTGTACCATTCCAAACTGGCATTATGTAAATTATTATTTCTCCAGATTAAGTGCGTATGCAAAATTTGTTCAGTGGTAAGAAAGAAGCAAATATATCTTTGGTTTTGTTATCATTTTTCGGGAAGTTAGCTATGAACTTAATTCCTGTGAACCAAAAACATCGATTGAGAACAACGAAAAAATGAGCATGCAGAGTAATATATGCCATTTAAAAAATCATGCAAAGTGCAAAATTATGCTTAATCATTGCTTCCTTCAAAAATAATTATTATTAAATCCGTTACCTTCAAATTATTCTGTGTTGCGAAGTAAATTGGTCCTGGAAAAAAAGTCAGGTGCCATTTACATTTATAACAACTACGTAATTTAGTCATTCATTGAAATGGCATTGCTCGAAATCACGCAAAGACAATGTTTTCCAATGTGACATTTTGTGTTGAGACGAAAATATGGCGAATGTGACAAAAAGTTCAGGAGGAACTAACCAAAGGAAAGCCATAGAATGCTCGTACTGTACATTGTGAAGCCAATTAATCGTGTTTCGTTGAAATTTTCCGGAATTTTCCGTGTTTTGAAGGCATACAATGTACAAGCAATGATCAAAAACATATTGTACAGTAATGAGATCAGTAAATGAGAAGCTCTAGCTTTACAGGTTAAAACCGTTTCTTTCCGTGACGGGAATAATACAGTGATACCGGGTGGGTCAATAATCAACCATACTAAAGAACCGATCAACTGTATCGATACAATACCGAAACATATTGCTATCTGAAATAATGTAAATTTATTTTCATGTTTTTTTGGATTTGAGAAAAAGAAAACTTTCTAAGAATCTTTTTAAATTTTGTATCAAATATAATGAATAATTTTATACAGCAGATTTATCAATCGACTTTTAAATTTGCTGACTTTTTGTTTCGCCTTTCTTTTTTCACGTCAAAGTTTTAATATGATTTTAGTAAAAGAAACCTGTGCACTGGGTACAATGCAATCAAGACGTCCTGCACTTTGCATTAAAAATATTCTGGCTAGAAGATTTGTTTTGGTTAAAATGGCAGCATAAATTGTAGACATTGATAAGCCAATAAGGATCCGTGATGCTGCACATATTGCCACATTTGGCTTAGAGACAAGAATGAAAGTTACTAAATAACACAATAAAATTCCAGTCAACATGAAGTAGCATAGTTCACGGCCAGATGCCATTATAACAGGTGTCCCGCTATATCGAATAAATACCTATTGAACAAAAAACCAGCATTAGTTAAATTCAATTAATTTCAATCTGTGGTACACTTAATTTAATCAGGATGAGTCAAAGTTAATGATTACAAAGAAGTGACTAATTCTGCAAGTTAAAATATCAAACAAAACTAAAATCACTTTTTCGTCTAAACGTTATGAATGATTAAAAAATATTTCAACGTGTTTTCGGCTTAAATGGTTATTAAAGTGTTTCATTTGAATGGATATTAGTTTCATTTTAAATTAAAATTTTCAAAAACAATGAGTAAAAAATTACTGCAACTACGAAAAGTGTTGCGGCTATGCCAAGTGTAGAACATATGGCCGGTAGGACTACCCATGGGCTATTATATTCCAACGATGTCGGCGGTATTAATTTGCATGCAATCAAATCCTCATTAGGTGCGTAACCTAACGGACATTGGGTACAACTGTAAATTCATTCCAAATTTTACTTAAAAGAAATTTGAGAATAAATTCAGAACAAAAGCAAAGAAAAGTTTCACGATTGGAAAGCTTTCTTTCTTTCAAACTTCATTCCCACTTTTGTTTAATAATGTTTATAGAAACATTATGGTGCTCAAAAGAAATAGTATTCAAACTCTTTTTGAAATATTTTAACTCACCTTGTTTCATTGATGATAACAGATGTTGATACATCACATGGTATGCAAGTCCAACAACAATTTTGATCCTGATAGGCACGATAATGTCCTCGTGGACAATTTACGCTACATACTGATAACGGTAATAAACCATCCCACCTTTTCAAACCTTTCCTAAAAGCTTATGATAATTTCCAAATTAATAACGCAGTAAAACTTTAAATTTCACAATCTTTCCAAACCTTAAAATGTTTTATCCTCTTTGAGGAGAGATTTAATTATAATCAAAGTACTTTTAAACATGATAACCTGACACGACGAACATTTAGGTCGAGTTTTTTCCCAGCAGTCCATTTGCCAACATTCTGATAATAGCCCGCATCATTTAATTGATAAATATTATAATTGCCAATTCCATCACCGTTTGCGTCAATATGTGGTGGAACACCAGCTGTACTGATTTTAATCATAAAAATCTTTAAAACAAAATGTAAATTCAATTCCCATATTTTACTATTTCAGGAAACAATTTCTAATATTTCTTTCCTTTTCTCTTTCTCCCTGATAATATCAAATCTTACGAGCGATTGAAACGTTCCTATAATAACTCTGCAGTCGTGCTCCATCGAAATCAGTTTTGGAAATATTACAACTGTGGAAATTCAGTGATGAACAGGTCGTCTATAATGTTTATATGACATTAAATTCTTTATATTTGTACAAAATACGGATCAACTGCTTATTAGATGCGATTTATCGAACTTTCCAGTTTAATTCAAGAATCGGAATTGTTTTTAGATACTCGGAAAGCAATAAGTCAAACAGTTAGTTACAGTTAACTCCAGTTATTAAAGCTTATTCGCTGTAATTAAAAAATTTGCACTTGTATTATTTTTTCATTACGGCATACAGTAATGAGTGTTCAAATCATGCTTCATTTGAAGTTCTGTAATACCTGTATGTATTGATGAAGCGCTCTAGCGACAACGTTTACCGCATCGATAACAAATGGTACATAAGCTTCTTGTTTGAAGATAATACCATTCTTATCAAAACATTCTCCAAAATTAGTGTGTTCATCGGTGCAATTAATCAACTCCCAGTATTCACGAAGAAACGTATTTGATGGCCATAACTTTTCGAAATATCTATCAAAATCTAAATGTAAGGCTTAATTTTATTTTAGGAGAAATTAAATTGTAAGTGCTGAAAGTAGGACTAGAAAAGTAACTATCAGAAAGGCTGAAAAGATTAATTCGGTATTTTATTCTTTTTCAATTGAAGAAATTTAGGAAATCACAGTACAAATCAGAAAGAAGTCTGATCAGAAATAACCAAAAAGAAGTTCAATGGAATCAATTATTTTTTTTGTACAAAAAGGAACTGATAATAAAATCAATTTTAATAGTTATGACCTCAAATAATTAAAAAAGCTCATTTAATGGAAGCAGTCAAAGAATTTCTGCAAATCAGAAATAAGTCAAATTTAATATTTAAGCTAATTGAAACATAAATGAGTAGAACGATGCATCTGATTTCCTCTTCAAGAAAAAAATGACAGTTAAGAAAAAAGTGACAGTCTGATAAGAATTACATTTTTTCTGGGTTGTTTATCACCTGTATCCAATTTCAAAGCTGTCCTTCGCAAGCTGACTGATATATTAATAATTAAGATTCTCAATTTAATTAATAAATTTTCCAAGAAGCCACCGGTGTATGTTAAATTCCCTATTTAAAGAACACAATACTTTTTTACAACATCGTTCAAGTGGTATGGTTTCAAACCTGGTACAACTTTAAGAACAGGTGAGATTGTTACTGCTCCGCTGGTCATTGCTTCATAACCAGTTATGACAGATTGTTTAATCCCCCAAGAATCACTGGCAATCCACCTGAGTACAATTTCTTCCTACATTATTTTTATATAGCAAGTTACATTTTATGACTTGAAAATAAATGTGTAAAACTTTAACTATTCCTCCATTTTGCAATTAATACTTGATTCAATAATCGATAGTCCAAGCTAATGCTCAAATATGCAGAATAGCTTCTCTGAGACTCTTCAGATTCCCTAAATATTGACTAGCAGTGATGTCAACATTAAAAGAAATTCATTATAAGATTATTCTTTTCCCGACAATGTCATTTCAACTCATAAAATTCTATTAGATCTCTTGCGATATTGCAGAAATAGCTTCTCTGAGACTCTTCAGATTCCCTAAATATTGATAAATAACTTTATCCTTTTCGTATGCCAAATATCTTCATAACTTAAATTTAATTTTGTTTAAAAATTTTCGTTGTTTTTTCTTTTGCTTTAAATATTATTTGTATATGTGTCTAGCACCGAACTAGTCCTATCAACTATATCACTTTTTATTTTTTAGCTCATAGCTAAATTTATTGAAAAGCCTTTCAGTCAATTTTCATTATCCACCTCATTTTCTCTGGCATTTAATCAGTTTGATTTTACGGCCATTTGACAATTCTTGATTACTTTTAGTTTCTTCAAGAAAAGCTCAGTATAATCCTAAAATCAACTTTCTTATTCCATGTCAAACGAATACAATTAATTTACTAATGTGATAATCAACAATGTCTTGTTAAGCATACAGAAAGTACGCTTCCCTTCTCATGTGCATCAATTATGCTTATGAGTCACACACTTTATTTGTTGATTTGTGCTTTTAAAAAGAAAAGTTATATGCTACCAGAAGTAATTATCAAACGTCGAATCCTCGCGTCTGATTTCATCCAAATTTGAGAGCATTCGCCTTAGTTGATCCTCATCAACGAACATTACAACACCTCGTGCTTTTTTTGTATATTTCATTTTGAAGAAGAGCTCTCTGGAAATGATAGCAATGAGAAGTTTAAAAAGAATAAGAAAATTCAGAAAATTGAATGTTTAAAGGAATTTTAATTGGATGATTCGGCGAAATCCAAAGAGAAGGATTGCTCATAAAGAGATGAAGGGAAAGGTATGCTAACTTGAATTGAATATCTGTCCATCGTCGATTAACTTTATGGACATCACCATCAATACATACACCAAGTTCAGCAGCTGCAGCACGAAAAGAATCGATCCCTCGTTCTCCGTAAGCCCCAGTTACAGCGATCGCATGCACATAACTCCAACCTAGTGCCGAAACCTGCTAATATCCGAAATGCATTTCGATGAATCACTGAGTTATGTTATCTTTTCTATTGATGATATAAAGTAATGATTTGTTAAACATGAAATTACTTAATTGTCAATATGACTGTCTCCTTTTGATAAATTATCTATNACAAGTTA